CCGTTGGAGCGGCCGCGGTAGCGAAGGCTACGCGCTAGGCGGCCGCGCTTGTACGCGAACAAGTGACTCGACGTGCATCGAAGGACATTGACGCGGCCGCCTAGCGCGTAGCCTTCGCTACCGCGGCCGCTCGAACGGTCTACGCGCGCTCTGATTGGTCGCGGTTTTCTCTTAATATCTCCTTAACGAAGCCCCATCCGACATTTTTGCAAAGGAAATTGTTGTTCAGAATCGTCTCAGCTACCCCCCATTTCCGGCTTCTCCCCGACTTTTCGGACACCTTGTATAACACCTAAGGAAAAGTGGCTTCCTTTCTCATTTATTTTCAGCAGAGTCAACCAGGCCCCAAATAATCATTGGTAAATACAGGAAACGTAAAATAACCGAGCAATAATAACAAGTATACCGACCTATGTTCTTTTGCGATCGTTCTATAACCAATTGCATTAGCCTGCACCGCCAGCTGTCTATTCAGATGCAAAAAGCTGCGCATGGGTATTCACATTTGGTGACGTCAAAATTGTTGAATCACCTCCCACTCGAAGACTGCGCCGTTGCTCGGAAAACGTGATCCAAAGTCTGAACTGTCCATTTTGTTTATGTGCGAACAGTGAAATGTTCTTGGAATAAATTTGCTTCTGCTAGACTTAATTTATTTTGCTTTCACGTGCTTTCGTTCCGATATATTCTATACTACGTTTCAATGGATGGTTTAAAAATAACCAGTTTGGAGTCAAACTTTCACGACGATGTATTCCTTCGATATACCGAACCTGTTTAAAAATAGTCAGGACGCGAAGTGACCAAAATACGCAATACTTTTCGGGGACACCCTGATAGACCTCGCTGCCTATCACGCGTTCTGGCACGTGCACCCACGTGCTGCTGAGAGGTGTTCGAGTGATTTCTCCCAGCGTTACATAGTCGAGGCACGAGCTATAAATACGTTGCGTACTAAGTAAAGTTGTGCCGCTCTTAAACTTATTCCTTCAAACAGCGTAACCGGAATACAGAGCAGCCTCGCCAATCGTTTTATCAATATTCCCTTGCACGTAACTATCAGGACCGATTTAACCATATCGCGGCACGAACTATTCCTTCGCTTCGAATTTAGCAGCCGTGACTCAAGCAGGGAAACTATTATTGTACACTTGGATCGAGAGCTGTAAATCTGCACTCGGCGATCGACTTGAACCCCCGTTGAATTGTGACATCGACTTCTCAAACGTTTAGAAAGTCTTCGCGAGCACTTTCAGCGTTAATAAAACGCTTGAAAATATTCAATTAATCGTTCAGATTCCCCGAATACACGTTTACCTTCTCGTTCGATTACGGAATCTCCGCTACAACCGATATGTTTCTTGCCTCCGAGAAAAGAATTCAGTCCCGAGGACAGAGAAATCTAAACCACCGTAAATCAGTTGGAGCGTTCTGTATATATGTATCTCGACAAAGGAAAGAGTCTCCAAGGTCTAAACAATGTTTGGAAGATGAGACTAGCGAACCCGCGGCGACGTCGCGCGGGACAGCTCGTCGCCCGCGAAAGTGGCATAAGCACGTGGTCTTGTGCCTTGTGTCACGCTCTGGTCGCGTGCTAGAGCATACGTGACAAGTGTCCGTGTGTGTATCCTCGGTTAGGCTACCCGTCGTATATCGCGGAGCTCTAACCGTGAATTCATATCAACACGCGAAAATGGAAACCTGGACGCGACTGACCCGTCGCTATGATAAGAGCTTGAGACGGGTAAAATTCAATGTATTGCATTTTTTTAAACTCTAGTTAACAGCTAAATGAACTCGATTGTATTAGATTTGTTACAAAATACACGTTTCATAATAAATGCTCCGACGTGAGCCAATGCGTTAATAAACAAATAAAAAGCTGGAGAGCAAGATTAAGGAATTTAGCGCCTCGAGAAAGTCGGAATGACGCTCGTTTTCTTGCGGATGACCCACCTCCAGTTATGCAAACAGGTTTTATTAGCGCGTCGCGAAGATTATTTCAGATGCTCGTGCAATTAGTTTCGCGGAGTAAGCACGCCACAAATAAAATCATCCACCGTCCGCCTTGGGGGACAGTAAAGTTTTCACGAGCGAAGGAAGAACCAAGAAGAAAGTGTACCACGAAATAAAAAGATCTTCCGCAGAGGGTCCGGCAGCTGATTGACCTAAGTAATTGCTCGCTCTTTTGTTAGTCTTCATCTTCCTTTCACTCAAGGCAACCGACTTTGTCGCAGCCATCTGCTATCGGCTTTGGAAAATGTCGAGAAAAATTTCGCCGTCGCCATTACTGCGAAATTATAGTCATCGTGATCTAATCACTCCAGCGAGTGAATGGAAACTGTAGAGCTTGTTTCGTTTCGATGATTTGCGAGCGAAAATTCAATCGTAATGGTTCGCTCCTTTGCAAGTAAATTATTTTATTTTGTACTTTTGATACTGTCCGATTCGACAGAAAATATATCGAAATGAGAAACTGAAATTAATCGTGACAAGTTATTTTTATATCTTCTTCTTATTCGCAAATGGCGCAAACAAAGCCACGAGTGGAAAACCTCTTAGCTTCTTCGTGCTCTTTTTGCCGTAGTTCCTGGGATGACCATATATTCTCCGGTGTTTCTCGAGCAGCTCGACGATAAAAGAAAATAATAACAGTTCGCGCGTCAAAAATCGCCAGGGTCTCGGATTTATGGCTCTCCAAACTAACCGCTTTTTCGAGCAGGAATATCCTGTTCGGTGTACGCAGCAATAAAGGTGTTAGGGTCGCTCAACCAAAGGACGTACGTGCTAGCGAAGCTCGTCGAAGGATAAAGATACGTGGATCCGTGACTCACCTGGAAAATTTCTCCAGCTCTCGCGAATTACATAGCGGATCGAGGCTACGTGCACAAGCCCACGTTGCGAACGCGCGTTATTAGAGGCGAATACCTGGCGTTTCTTACCTGGAAAGAGCAAAACACCGAGGTTAATTCAAGGTAGTACGCAGAGATCTCAACGATTCGAATGCATAGGAACGTTGAAAGATCGTGGAAGGATAGGGTAAAATTGGTTTGGGATGGTACACTAGGTGTTCAGGTAGTTTTTTCGATGATTCAATACATACTCGTTTCTCTTTACATCTGTCAAAATAATATAGTTGCGATGATTATATTTATTTACTTCAATCACTTGAGTTACTAGCAGAAATATTTCTCTTATTCCACCGTCCACGCAATAATACTTCCTTTTTCCCAAGAGTTTCGCGAACCCCATTTTTAAAAAACAATGTCGTACACACAGCCGCTCGGAGTAGGAACTTTTGAGTCATAGCTAACGGCATTCCTTTCGTTCCTCCATCCACGGGAAACGCTTCCTCTCCTCCGAGGGCTCGCATACCCCATTTTTCAGAAACAATGCCGCGTGCACAGACATCGCAGCCGAGCATTGTTCGTATACGGAAGACGTTTCGTAAGTCTCGACCGTATGCGCCGTGCCGATAAACGAAAAACAAGGTGCGAGTCGTTTTGTTCGTCGCGTCATTTCCGGCCGAGTCCATGAACGTAATTTCCTGTCCCGGTTCAGCAACACCGCCTCGTGGCCTTTAGTGCCGTTAACCGATGGTAAAATGCAATTCGAGGCGACGCTGGGAATATCAACGCTCCTCGTGCACGCGATTTCGGGCGGGCAGCGAAACGCTATTAAACGTGCAAAACGATTATAAATAACTCGCGACAATCGCATTACCAGACGCGCGAATTACAGCCGCAGGAGCAGTCACGCGAAATATTTGCATACTCGGTTGCGTCTCGTTACCGCCAGGTCGATATTAAAATTGATGTCGAATCGATGGAATCGTTTAAACGCAACCACCTACGTTCCAAATGTAATTAAATTCTAGAAATTCATTTTCAATGGATAAGAATCCTCACCTCAACAGATATTTTAGAGGTTTCGAAGAAATTATGAAAATCTCTCCACCAAAGCTCCAACTTCAACTTCGGCAATTTCTTTCCTAAACAACCAAAAATTTGAATCCAATCCGATGGGTTATTATTTTCCATGTCGCGTGGTTATAAAATGTTCAATTTGACTGCAACTCATCCCTTGGGCCATCGAACGATAGACACAACGTATTTCTGTTTCCCAACACGGTTGCTCCTATTGTAGGCGCGAAACTCGCGCTATTTGCTGCACGAGTACCGATACTACAGAAATAAATTCCATAAAAATATCCGAATACACGAATCTCAACATCGCGTCAACGCAGAAACGCGTGTTATCGTTCGATTTTATTTATCCTCTTTCTTTTTTGCTTTCGGTGGATGAACATCGAACCTCGTTTCGCTGAAACTCCGAAAATGTCGTTTCCGACAGGCTCGATGTGCGCGAATTATAATATCGTCGCGTCGTGTATACAGTTCTCGTGAAAACTCGCCGTATAACCGAAACTCTCGTCCACGTATGTTCGCGAGTCGTAACTCCGCTGTCGCTGAAAGAAACGCGTTTCGTATATGAAGTCTGCGAACACGCTTGTGCACTTTCTGGTCCGATTAATTCTACGTAACTTCGACGCGAGTTCAAAATAAATATGCCATTTTATTTTGAGCGGAATTTTCGCGTAAAATGAAGTATGTTTTGCTGGGCGTTATTTGCTCGTGGATGTTCTGGGAATTACTGGATTTTTCGCAGGAAGAGTTATTGGGTTAAATAAAGCCAAGGAAATTTTGTATAAAAATAGTTTCGATCAAACGTAACGTGAATGAGCATTCTTGGTCCTTAAAAATTTAATAATATTTGCATTAATGCATTTGATAAACAGAAATAAAAAATACGTAAACCATCAAATGCTCTATGCTTCCATGTAGACGCAAAACAATGTCCACAATTTATCTCGTTTAGAGAGAATCACAGTTCGTGTAAATCAGCCTATACAAGCGACAATTGGGTAAAGATTGGCAATATCGCACGCTTCTAAGTGCATATATCGCTAATGCGCGTACGTCTATTAGCGTGTCCTGCAATCGGTAGCTATTGTTGCGCTGTATTAGCATGATTGCACGGGAGTGGTTGCACGTTCGAGTAACCATAATGGACTTACCTGGCCACGATGCATTGATTTTCCATACACGAAACCATCGAAATTGGCCGTTATATTTTCCAGAAATGTCCGTGGTAGCATCGACTGGAAATGCTACGCATATCGTGACAGTTAATATTTATTCCACGCCCAATGACGGTCGATTGTAATATTGTTTACCGCCCAACGGTGGTCGTAAAAGTCGTAAAAGTGGCGCATCGAATTCGAATCACCGTACTATAAACGCTTCAGAAAAAAAAAAAAAACACGTGAACTTTTCACGCTGTGCGAATTTCTCATGGATACTCGCGAATACTATTCATTTAGTAACTTCGTTTTTCATCTCGTAATTCAGCGGAGAGTAGATATTTTCAAGGAAGGAATAAATTTCAGTTATCAGAGGCCGAGAATCGACGAGTTTTCGTTGTCGAAATTATTCCCTCGGTGGAGCGGTTCGTTTTAATTGAAAACCATAAATCTGAGCGCGGAAATATAATGTCGACAGCGCGATTCTCCTGAAATCCACGTCGCAACAATAGCCGCCATCACTCGTCGTCCAGCTAGTCGCACGAAACAAGAAAATACAGGTGCAAATCTTATTCAACCACGTCGTCATTCGCCAAGCAGAGTCGTCCACACTCGGCAAATAATTTCTATACTGCGTAAAATACAAAATTCCTGCCACGTACAGTCAACGGAGATCTCGAGCTCATAGGTGGGCTTTAGGGTCGTGGACGTCACGGGGGCCACTTTATTGCCGCGACGTACGAATACCTGGAAACGCATTATCGGCCCTGGTATCCGCGATACGTGTCCAGTGATTCCCACGGGAAATTTCAAAAACGATACCAGCGAGCGACCCGCGGCTCGGATCAAGATTAATCAACGTCGTTCCGTTGGGCCACTTTATGAAAAATTCCCGTGTCCCAGCGCAAAAATAATGGACCCACATGTTTGCTCGCGCGGAAACTTGCAGATAATCGCGCTGAACCCTGCCCGACAGAAAATTTACGACGGAGAAGTGCTCGGCAAAACAACCGTAGACAAATCGAGACCTCTAATTACGCGAGCCGTGCGATAGCCGACGAAACGATTCCAAAGGAGACAGGGACGATGAAACGTTTCGCGACGCGAATCGTTTTCCAATGACTTCGACATAGAGTGCGCAGTTGCGGATAGTTCTTAGCGGCAACTTTTAGCGCGCTGGTTTTTAATCTGTTGACGCGAGTGAAAACAGTATTTCGCAAACACAGAACCTCGTGTTTTATTTGTCATCGTTATTTAACATTTTTACAACGACTCCAATAATTAAAGAATGGTTATTTCGAACGCAATCCTCGAGTCGCGATATAAAAACGCAGTCGTTCTCGTTTAGTGATATGAATAAACAACGACATAAATAATACACATAAATATTCAAGCTCGTTTAATCGATATACTGTATTTCTTCAACCGGTTGTTATGCATATCTACCAGTAAACGAGGACTCCGTTAATTTTATTTACCGGCGATAAATTGAAACCGGTAACGATGAAAACGCCTACGAGTCGCAATATTGGGTCTCGTTCCTCTGTGCTGGCGCGATGCCAAAGGTCCTTCGACGATGGTTTCGAGATGGAAACGCGTGAAACCGAACATCTTTTGTTTACACGAAAACTCAAGCCTCCATTGGTCGCTTTCCTCGAACGAGCCAGCCATTTTCGAGCCATAAGCTCTGTAATAGTTCCTTTCGGATGATCTGTTTAGTTTTCTGTGTTGCACATACAATATTACTTGGCATTATGATCGATTTCGTTTCTTCATATCTGGGATCAGAACTTATCCACAACATTTACTCTGAGGTGCTCTGAATTTTTAAACATTCTCTAGCAATTATTTTTATTTCAGAGCTGAGGCTTTAAGAAATGTAATTTGTTAGTTTAAAATACATGGATCAGATTAACCAGGTCGATAATACGTTAAATAATTGAACGCGTTTCAAGAGTCGCGGCAGTTTAACCAAAGAACCTTACGTACGCTCGGTCTAATTGGAAAAGCTCGCGATTACTCGGAGTATTAACAGATTTCTCTTTTTGCTTGGCCAACTTCCGAATGCTCGAAGAACTTAAACGCTCGGCGTATGACAAGTCGAAAACTTCGCGTTGCTTTGTCGTCGCCCGTAACCGTCGGGTCGAAATCGACTTGGGGTAAATTGGAAAAATTCGAGTGGAAGCAAAGTTGGCCGGCGACGATGAAATTGGAAAACGTGGAGAAGCGTGCACGCGCGGCGGGAGATGCGCCGAAAATGAGAACTCGCGATATAAATCTGCCGCCCGCCGGATTAGATTTGTACCGCGGAATTCGGTCACCGCTCTCCTAAGAAGCGGCTTGTAAAATTGCTCGTAAAAAACGAGAAACGCGTGGAAAATATGCGACATCGTACGAGAAAAACTCCCTCGAAGTCGCGACCAATAATTGCAGCACAAGTTAATAGCTAATAGTTTTAGAAAAACGTTCGAAGTGCGAGAATCATTGGATTGGTAATTCTAATGTCAAGGTTGTAGATTTCCATTTTTATTATCATCTAATTCCTACTATTGTACACACCTTTACACTTTTCAAGCCTGCTACACTGATTTATGACTAAGGAAAAAGATCGATTGCCAATGATCTATTATTCATTCGAGCAACAGACTATTAGGGAAAAAATATTTATTTCCATACGTGGAAATATTTTCTCATTATACGTGTGCTCGTTCGTGGAACGCATACATAGCTGTATCTGCATCCTAAACTTTTATTGCGCTATCTCGCGAGGAACGAGCTCTCCTGGAATCCTTTTGACAACCTCATGGCCATTCAGGGAGCAGTCAGTTGTATCGGATTATGCAGCACGATATCGCGACTCTCCGGTGTTACAGAAATTGCAAGAAAAGGACTCGCGATATTTTCTTGGCTCGAAAATAATTAAACGATAACAGCTAGTCTTCATAACCGACAAAGAAAAAGAAGCATTCTATTCATCGTTTCAATTTGAGAAAAAATAGTAAAAAAGTATAGTCACCAGTGTATGGAAATAACGAAAAGAAATCTGGTCTATTCTTGGTTTTCTGGTTTGCTGGAAACCTGTCGCATTTTCGTATTAATTATTCCCTAGGAAAGTGGAAACTTTTCTAATTCAAGAAAAACTTGGTTGAATCCGTAGCTTTTCAGCAAGGTAACAGCGCGTCACTTTCCGCCTCAAAGTGAATTGCCTTTCCGCCCAAAGACAGCCGGTAATTCCTTTAGAAAAAAAAAAGGAAGTCGGCAAAAGAGGAGCTTCTGCGTAAAAAATGTCATCTCAGCATCGTCCAATCAACGTCTGGGCTTCGCAATTACGTCCTCGTAATTAAAGCTCGAACGACGAAGACTTCGTAAAGTCTACTCGAAAGTTCCCCAACGAATAGTCGAACGTCGTTAAACTTGACGCGTCGTGCCGCTGTTTTCTCGGAAAACTTCCGACACTTTGTTTCTCAACTACTTTCCATACACGTTTCTTCAACATCTTTGGATGTCCTCTGTTTTGCTTCATATCTCTAAAATAATGTGCCAAAGAATGAACACCACGCTTTCTCGGAAAAAAAAAAAACTCATCCATACTCCAGCGAATTTTGGTCGCGAATAATTAACGTGAAACGCGCACCGCGACTAAACCGTGAAGGGGATGTCGTTAGTGGCGCAAACACCAACGAAACCATCCCCGCGTGCGAACCGGTTTTCAGCCCGTCTTTCTCGTCCTCGGGGAGCACGCGTTACACGCTTCGCTATTACACGCGTGTTGCGCCGAAATTTGCGTACACGAGCCATTGTTATCGCAGGATGAGTTTCGGTTTCTGCTCCGTTCTCCGATCGCATCGAGTTCCCTGCGGTTTGTCCCCGTTTACGTTGTTTTCCCCCTCAGTTGCCGCGCTCGCTCGTCGCCCTAGAATCTACTTCGCTGCCAAACATACGAACGCGTAACACGATAAACGCGTGTTACGCGGTGGCATACGCGAATCCTTCACGTCCCATTTAGATGCAGGATAGTCCAATTTCCCTAACATCGTTGCACTGCGTTGTGTTGTGGAGCTGTCTGCTTTGTTGCGCGCTGCATCGATCCGCCCCCATCTTGGTCCACGTTAACTGTCCATTACGCGTCCACCTGTTCCCTCAAGGGAGGATTAGCTGGAGAGGATTCGCAAATATCGACAGAACGGAGTCATTTTTCAGTTTTCGACTAATTTCGAAAGGAAAATCTCGCGTCAGACGAATCCCTCGTTGGAAGAAGCCGCGAGTACTACTTGGGAAAACCGAATCGGCGCTTGGTACTCGAAACGAACGGAATAGAAAGTGTTGCCAATCGAGGAAGAGTCTTCTTCGCCTACTACGAGGGCTTTCGTTTCAACGACGTAGTTTATTCTTCGTCAACGACACTCGTCGCGTCTCATATTAAGGTCACGGAAGGATGATTGGAAACTCACTCTACAAACTAGTTTGTATACCGAACTAACGATCGTTAGCCTCGAGTGAGACGAAAACTCGTTTTTCAGGTTCCTCCTCGCGGGCCCTACGGCTTCGATGTTCTAATAAATCCTAGAGATATCTTGAAAGAAGAAAAATGGATACATTGACTAGCGCGAATGAAATTTCGCTTCGCTGCTTCTTGCAGGCCTTTCTTCCCGAATTTCTTTTTAATCGATCAATCTTAATTATTCCAAATTTATCGTCAAGCTTCCTTTCCTGTTACTTTCAGCCACGTTCTCCGCTCCAAATTCACCGTCTAAATTTTTTTTCCAGTCGTGCCAAGTAGTACTCGAGGCGGTGACGCGCTCGTCTCGGTTAATTTCTCGTTAAACGCCCCGCTGTCGGAGTTTCTCGTCGCAGTACAGGTACTGCGTTAAATCGATTAAAAAATGTTACCGCGGTTCGTTAGTCGGGCGCAATCTCGCTTCTCTCGTTCACTGTGATATTTTCACGAGCTCTCTGTGTTTACAGAAACAATTCGATTCCATATGCGTGGGCAACGCTCGCGATCGTTTCGTTATTTCTGAACGGAGCGCGGTTCTTCGTCGGTCGAAAATTCATCGTCGCGTGACGAAATTGCTCGACGGACCGCAGAAACGAGCACGCAGTCGTAAATTCGTTTTAGAAAGAGTCGAGGACTTTTACGACACGCGCAGAGATACTCGGTACAATTTCAGTTATTCCGACGTTTACCATAATAAGAGGACGACAAAGTACATAAGCTTACGGAAGAAATATTATTGCGAGTAATGTTTAAAAGTAGGTCACGAGTCGAAAATGGTTTGAGAAACACTGGTTAGATTCCCGAAGTGTCCCTGATAATGAACTCTCGGTTGTTTGATAAACGAGATACGATCGCGCGCGCGAACTCTGATGACGCATCGGCAGCGAGTGCATTCACATGAAAACACGGTTTATTCGTATGCGCTCACGAGATCGTTAATCGTCCCCCAGGGAAACTATTGACCCGATTAAATCGAGAACGCTTCATCGGACGATCAGACAAACCCATTTTGTCCGAACTGGAGGCCAGAAATGCAACGCGCTAGCGATTCGCTCGCTTTGCTCCCTTTGCTCGTAATCGAGTACCTGCTGCCGCGTTACGTCAATCCGTGAATATGCATGAGCTTTACATACCGTGAAAAATTGAAGCCGACGAGAGCAATATTTTACATACCCGTGCCGTAAAGTTATTCGTGGAACAGCAACGTGTAGCATCGTCTGGAAATTTAGAGAAAAAGGACGGTGGTCCTTGGAGTGATGAGCGGACATGAATCTATTATTATTTTAAACGCTCGTATTTCATTATACTCCATATTTTGGAGAGAACGGACAATTCTTCATTCTCGATGCAATGAAAAGAAGAGTTTGAGAAGGATTTCCCGAAAATAGTCGTTGCGCTATTTGCGAGCGAAGGGTGTTTTCGCGATTTATAGTGAATTCCCTGTTTCGTTAACCTCTGGCACTCGCAAATTGTTTATGCGCATTTGTAAACAGCTAAGTGTGTAATATCATTGTTGTCTCGCTATATGATACACTCGTCGGTGTACTTTGATTTGCTTACACTGACCGGAAACATATAGCTGCACAGGTTTAATATAAGAATCTCGTTGTTGCGGTTCGAGCATTGGATTAAAAAGGAACCTTAATGGATGATTGTGACTTAATTTATTGCCGAGAAAAAATATTCGGATGATAGCAGATGAAGATACACTATCATTACTCGGCTATAGATCTAAATAATTTTTCTATACAAATAACCCGTACAGCGATTCGACCGTAAATTCCTTCTGGGCAAGCAGGGAGAGAGAGAGAGAGAGAGGGAGGGGAGGAAGCTTGCGGTGGAAAACACATGGTATTGCTGGGATTTACGAGCGTTACAGCGTGTCATGCATCCCCGCGACTCGAATCCTCCATTATCGCGACGCTCACGTATCGAATTTATGGTAAATGCGAACAATGAAAATAAAACTCGATTTCCGGGTGGCGCGTGTCGCGAGTGGCAGGTGCGAAATGACCCGTATAAAAGCATCGCGATACCGTTCTTCGTCGATCGTCAGCAACGCACGATCCAATTTTTATTTATACTTTCATCAACGTTTACTTAGAACAATGTGCTGTTAGGTATCACTCACGAAAGGAAAACTGTTGTCTGAATTACGGAATGAAATATTTCCTAACGAACAAAGAAACATTTTCATTTTAGCGAAGTTTTTTAGCTGTTGTTTCGCGTTCGCCAAGCCTTCCGTTATGGTTGGACGGCCTTCGACCATTTTATGGGAGCTTGCTGACCACTTCCGCGCGGAGAAGGATACTTCTCGTTCGAATCTGGCTCGATATTTTCTGCCAGAAGCAATTTGTTATCCCGTTTCAGGGTCCCTCATCCATACTTGGCGCATTTCGACGCTATTGACGCGCTCGTCCGGTGATGCCCATTTAAACAGGAAGCGCTGTCCTTTCAGCCAATTTAAATGAATCACGATCGTAATGACCCTCCCGTCTACGGCTCGTTTTCGCTACCGTGCGTGCCTTGAGAACTATATTTGCTGAGTTGTGTTGGATGTTCAAATCCAATGAAAAAAAAAAAAAATAAAAATAGAACGAGAGCAATCAAAAATTTGCATTCCACTCGGACGATATATGGAAGTTCTTCAGGAAATCTCTATCTCAAAGTCATTCATCTTCCACGTCAACTTGTAAAGAGCACAGTAAATTGTATCTTCTATTTACTACCCAACGCGTAATGAATAACGAGTTGTTTACCTCAGTTTCGTTAGCCAATATTTTTACTCAAATAATAATCTCGTCCTTGGCCAGCGGGGTGCCTTCAAATCCCCGAGGATTAAAAACGATGGACAATAGAACTCCACATCGACCAGGAAACGATTTATCTTCTCCCGTCTGACAACGCGGACATCCCCGCGTGTTTGCTTCAGCTTTCGAATCATCTACACGTCGACGAACGTTAAAATTTCACCGGTGTAATTTCAAAAGCAATTTCCCGAGGCCCGTAATCTTTTCCGTCTTCTTGCGTTCCTTGAAATCTCGTCCAGTTTTATGTTCGTCCTCGCGTCGCAAGAAAATAACTACAAGCAACGCTCGCGCGATGGCAAGAGGTATTCATGCCATCCTCCTTTATGGAAGCATAAAGCGAGTTCGTTAAGCCATTCGCGTAATTAGTCCAGATAAACCGTAACGGGGAAAATTAGAATTTGCTTTTCATTCCGTTTCCGCTTGTGCAATCGTTGCGACGGAAACGATCCGCCTCCGAAGAAAAAGAAAACTCCCGACGATTCAAACGGAGAACCAAGTGGCGCTATACCAACCACTCGAGGATTTTTTCTCGGCTGAAACCACTTCAAAATACCGCTTTCACTGTTTAATTTATACCTCGACGAGTATTCAAAGAGACTTCTGTTAAATCAATCGCGGTTTTGCTTAATCAATCAAGGGTGGTTCGATCACTTTCTTCCCATCGTGACCAGTACAATTTGTTCATATTTCAGAGCTTTTCCTTTCAGTGTATTATCCTCGAGTTAATTTTCCACGACGAAGGTGTAATGCCTGGTTCGCGCGACGTTCAACTCTCGATCGAGAATTTAAAACGATCGATGGCACGTATCGGGCGTATTCAGACAGCACGGCACCATAATGGCTGCGCTGTATGTCACCGTTTCTATTGTGCTTCGTGTCAAGACTAGGAACTAATCTCGGCTACCGATTCGCCGGCGCCTGGAATGTCGCCAGTACGGAAAGTATAGCGCGAGTTAAGGCCATTTGTAACGTAACACAATTGCATACTGTCGAACAGCAATACGCTGCTCTCAAGTTCGCAACAATCGACCGCCACAAATTTTCTACCGTGTTCTTGGTCCATTTTCTCGAGGAGTGAAGCGTTGGCAGCCGGATACGGAATACATTTGTACCGCGTAGAATGATGCTTGCCAGTGTCGAATTATTATCTTGAATTCGAGTCATCATTAGGACTGTGTATGTTTGTATATATATATGGTTGAGCTCGTAATTTAAAATTTTCATGTAACTGTAATGAATACTCTTCGTACTTGTTTCTCGTGACCCTTTTACGATAAACTTCGACTTCGACTTCGTCTCCGTTGTCTCCGTTGTTACCGACGCGGGTATAATTAAATTGCTCGTCCCCCGTCTTTGCAACCCCGTCAAAGTACGTAATTACGTTTTCATCGACGAAACCGACGGGTAACTGTGGTACCCGTATGGTTAACCGAAACTGGATTTAGATTCGAATTATTCGATGCCGACGCTCGCTGGCCGTATCTATAAAACGCGATACCTCATGGATATACCTCCTATGGAAATAGAATTCGCGTTACGGATTCGAGATCAGCACCGTTCGTCGACTTTGACCCATCCAAGCACGCTGTAGATTGGATTCTACTTGAACTTTAAGATTGTTTTTTCAAACGGAACG